TTTTACGTACGTTCGATTTAATTATACGCTTAGTTCTGTTGTGTACATTATCGACATTATATTTTGTTGATGTTGGCGAAACTTCAATTGTAAACAATTATCTGTATTAACTTCTTTTCAATGCGGTGTGTGGGACAGCTTTGTTACCGCACTGTCTAATTAGCTTTTTTAACACTTCCGTGTATTTACCCGTTCAATAAATATCATCATTGTATTTAGTTGAGGTTTATAAAGCAATGCGTAATTTTAATGCTTTCAAATTAAATAGACAGTTGATAGTTAAGTTATGAATTTTATTGGTCATACTACTGTGTATTATACAACAAACTGTAACAGTATTATTGCGATTCGAGTGAAGTTTTAAAACAGGGAATTTGAGGCATCTGGAAAATCTACTTGAAGTCAAAGAATGCTTCTATTTACACGCCCTGATGTTGAATTCTAGTTGACATTTAATTGTGTTTTAATTTAATTGAACTTAAAAGTTGCTGATTTTCTAGAGCTTTCAATGAAGCCTCACCACGTGATGCTTAATGTCAGAAAAATGCTTTTTGCAAGGTGGTTAAGTACGAGTGTCAAGCGCAATTATTCCAAGAGCGCACGCAATATGCACAAGTAGATAATTTTAGTTAAAATCTCATTGCAATTTTAAACAAGCGTGAACTCGCATTGAGCTCATCTGTCCTTGCTGAAGTGTTGTAAAACCATTTGCCCAGTCAAGTGCGTGTTAACGAGAAGCTCGACCTAAAATAAAACACAATGAAAATACAAATAAATTACAGGCCAGGTGTTTAACGATTTGGTTTTATAAATCTTTTCATATGAGCACTTTGCCCTACGTTTTGAAAATCACGATTATCGTTGTTATAATGTTCGTTATATTTTTTATAATATTTTTTTGTTTAAGACAATAATATTTCATCACATTATTTTATACGAAAGACCTCTGTGACTTCGCATACGATAACATCAATACGGCGATACAATAGATGAAACACATATAAAATAGCACATTCTCAAAAAATCAGTATAAATAAAAAATTACAAAGTTTCAATTTCATTCGCAAACACTGTAAATAATAAAAAGGTTCACTAATTTATCTATTTATATATATATAACTATTTATCTGATATTATTGCTCAATACATTTGTTGGACATGGAGTCCAAATGTTTTCCGGATCTCTTCGGACTCTTCTTCCAAGGAAATAGATCGAGGATGGGAAGCAATTCTAGTGATCCCCAATTTTGAAGGCCGAAACACATTTCAATAAATATTTTGACTGGTTGTGAAATCCTTCACAATATGGGATAATCTGGTGTTCATCTGAGAAATTTTTACGTACTTCGTTATTCAAGCGTGTTTGACCCCAATGATAGAATTGGTCACATTCAAATATAATCAAATCTTCCTACAAACAAAACGCTGCCTTTCAAAATATATGTTTTTGATTTTAAAACTTTCTTGAATAAAGGTGCGCATTTGCCAAAAATTACTGAACTTCAGTATAGCGTGTTTGGCTTGTGCCTGTTAATTTTTAATTTCCATCATGTTGTTGGTTTATCCAGTTTGCCCTCATATCGATTTACTTTAGTAAATTTTTTTTTTGAAAAAAAATTTACTAAAGTTTTTTTTTTCCCCGTTTCTTTTTTTACAATGTTCACATTCATATTTAGAAATGTTTTCCGGGCTTTGAAGCCGTAGTCCATGGGAATTTCTCCCATGCTTTCCTACTAAGGGTTAGATGGTAAGTACGGGAGATCACTTCGTCCACTGCCTCATCGCCTTTGATAATGTCCACCGCAGTTGTGGACGAAACGTCAGGAATAAATTTCCATGGACCACGGCTTCAAAGCCCAGAAAACATTTCTAAATGTGATTTGACTGGCCGTGAAAGCCTTTATAGTCTGGTTCACATCATTGTTACAGTAGAAATTTCTTACAATGTTCCACTCTTCGTGCTAGTTTCAGTGTTTCTAAGAAGGACACCAACAGATATAGCTAAATTAAGCTGGTTTCGTTTCCTTCTTAATATAATTTTCGGTCTGTACTTTCTCGTTGTGTGGGCGGCGAATATAAATATTGTTAGGGTATTTCGATTGATACATAGAACAAGGCTTATATAGAAACGACTCTTACTCTTGTAGAAAGTGTGTCGCTAAAGTGACGCGCCCTGGTGGCTGACAATTAAATAATTCAAACAAACCTGCATTATGAACCCACTACACTTACTTATTTTTAATTGTGCCGCAAGGGGCAGCTGATAATAGGGATAAATGACACAACTACACAAAAATACATATAAATATATATATTACTTGTTGTTTATTGTTTATATAAATACTTTTTATAGATAAGAAAAATCTTTGAAGCATTTTTAGGAACAACTTTAAAACATACGCCTTTTGTGATAGGAAGCCGTGCATTTTCTAACAGCCTTCAAGACACCAATAAACAGCTACCA